GGTGCTACGCACATTGGTACCTGTACAAGTGTGAGTGGCACGGGCGTGAGTGGCACGGGCGTGAGTGGCACGGGCGTGAGTGGCACGGGCGTGAGTGGCACGGGCGTGAGTGGCACGGGCGTGAGTGTTATGAACCCGAAGACTGGGTCGCATCCGAGTTTGAGACACATGGAAAATAACACTGGCGGAGAAGACCGACGACAAGGAGGTTTTGGAGCCAGCCAGGCGTTTGGAGCTGTCTCTATGGGAATGACCGGAGTAGGGGGAATGACTGGAGTAGGGGGAATGACTGGAGTAGGGGGAGCCGGGGGAGCTGGTGGTGGGAATGTTCGAGATCAGATGGACAGAGACCCAATGGGTAGAGATCCAATGGGTAGAGACCCAATGGCGGGGAGAGATGGCATGAAGAAGCCCGGGTCGGTCACCACTGGTTGTGGTTCCGGGACGTCAGGTTCCGAGGTGTCTAACGCAGGTTATTTTGGCAGAGGCGGTGGGATGGTTCCTAAGCCGAACTGTGTATTTAACATTGGTTCTGTCAGCCATCCTGTGCCTTCGGGATCATTGAATCGGTGTTCTGTGGTGCATCCGAATATGATGAAGCAGTCGCCGTTTTCTACGACAGCGCCTACCCCGACGGAGAGTCCTCAAGGTTATTGCGATGATGTCCTTGACCAGCAACTTCTGGATCAACATTTGTCGACAAATATATCGCAACAAGATCTCCTCGATGAGCAGCTGACGGCCGAGGAATTGGTCTCCGAGCAAAACCCCGTTGAACAACAGCAGGCGGGCGGAGGACTAACCCCTCTCTACATGCAGTGTGCGGAACTGCTTACTCAATCGCAATCTGAGATGGAAGTTGTGCAGTTATTACGTCGCCTGGCCGGAGAAGACCTCTTGCCCCAAGGTCTACTGGAAACCCCAAAACACCGACGCTAAATGCAAGCGACGAAATGGATGCCAGATGAAACGGGTGCCAGATGAAACGGGTGCCAGATGAAACGGGTGCCAGACAAAAATAAGTCCGGCAAGATGGTTAGATAGTTCATGTTTAGTATTTAATGTTTTTACATGCGATCCAAACCATGTGTACCCTTGCACTGGGACGGATGAAAATCTGCGCGTGTTACTCAGTTTTTGGCGCGCAAGTATTTTTTTGGAGACAGGAGGAATGTTGCCGGATTCCGCTTTGGAGGACGCTGAGAGACGTGCCGCAAGTTGGACTGGCGATCGGAGGGGGTTCGAGGTAACCCACAGCAATAGCCGGCGTCGTGACATTCACGAAGAGGGCGAGATCCCGCGATTGGTATTGAGTGAGTATGAGGACTACGACATGTGCGTGGTGTTCAATCGAACAGTCTCACAACCAAACAAATTGATGACCCGGGAGGAAGTCCTGGAGGAGTTGAAAAGTGTGTGCCGCGCGCGCGTGGGGAAGGATTTGCGAGAAATTAATGGCTCCTTTACGTTTCATCCGGTGTTCCAAGAGAAGACAGTAAGTGGCATGACTCGTCAGGCGTTCCACGAACTACTCCAGAAAATGTTTAAGCGGGTTCTCGATCATTTGGGCGCCTTCTATCGCGAGGAGGAGGGCTGCGACAAGAACGGGAATAAGTTTATAAGTATTCGCCTAGGAGAAGGTGGCTGTCACCTTATCTCTGATAACCTGCGATACCCGCTGCAACTGTCCCGGGATGTGGCCAGCTACAGGCAGTTCAGAGCCGACGCGGACTTTTACCCGCCCAGGTTGCCGTTCGAGCCCAGCATTGAAAAGTACGGAGACAGATTGATCTGGAATCGATACGACAGGCTTTCGCGTACCGTTAAACTTACCAACGAGCTGTACGAACATCCGGAGACTTCTCTATTCCGCTCCGCCGATCGTTTGCGATTGTTGAAGTGGGGCATTTACGAATTTTTGAACTTGGATCTGTTATGCGACAAGAAGTATGTCAAGACATACTACTGTCTTAAGCAGCCAGCCATTGAACGTTCGCTACGTACTTCCTGGGCTAGTTTCAGGAAAGCATTTCAGTTCCAACAGCCACTGAATGACATCCGTAACTACTACGGTGAGGAAATTGCTTTGTACTATGCTTGGATGGGATACTATTGTACCATGTCCATTATACCGGCTATTGTTGGATTGATAGTGGGTATACTAGGAGTAACTTATAATAGTAATATGTCATTCAATAATTCCCTGGTAAACAAGTCGCGTCTAGTATATTGCGTGTTCATTGGGATTTGGAACGTTTTGTTCTTTGCATTCTGGCAACGTCGAGAGAAGTTATTATCTTTGAGATGGGGTGTGGATAGTATTTTGGATAGTACGGTTGAAGAGAATCCGAATTTCAAGCCTAGTGAGTTCCGTGTTGATCCGTCAAATCCGAGTCATTTTGTTCGTTGGTTCAATCCTCATCGACGATACTTTCGTATTCTATTAACGTCTGTTGTAATGGTGGTAAGTATACTTGGTTTGACATTATTTGTTAACGAGGATATGTTGGATGCGATTGCTAAGATCACTGAAAAATCAGGAAGTGAAAATTACTGGGGAGTAGAAGACTGGGTTAGATACTTGGTACCTAGTCGTCATGTGGCAGAACATGCAGCAATTGTTGTGATGGCAACAACCCTATTATTGAAGGCTTACAACATTGTGTTTAAATCCATGATTGTTAAAAACTTAGGACATTTCGAGAATCATCAACATCTTCACGAATTAACATCCTCTATTAATCTCAAACTATTCGTTTTACGTATAGTAGGTTACTTCAGTGTATTATTCTACTTAGCATTTTTCAAGGAATATTACAACCCATGTGAAGAGACTAGTGATGGTAGATGTTTACCTCGATTGTCGAAACAATTGCTTAATTTTTACTATGTTGATTTGGCTATGATTGTCATGGAAATTGGTCAGCCAAGTATTAAATTTTACTTGAACAAGTTCCTTAATAAACCAGTGGATATGCCACGTTATCAAATGGAATCGTATCTAGATGAGTACTCGGGAACAAGTGGAATTTCTGGTGAGTACTTGGAGAAAATCGTGCAATACAGTTACACCGGGCTTTTCTCTATGGCCTGCCCCTTCCTACCATTACTAGGCTTGCTCATCAATCTCATCGAACTGCGATCCGATGCACTCAAATTGACCGCAGTCTACCGCAGGCCTTTTCCTCGAAATGCTACTACAGGCCTTGGTCTATGGGATGAAATTCAGAGATCTATGACCTTTCTAGGCATACTCTCCAATGTCATGCTCTGCATGTTCGCCACCGTCGGACACGGTAATCCCATGAGCGAAAAACTCACTGGCAGTCTTATACTCTTACTCATTGGCGTCGGATTGAAAGACCTCATCGAATACAAACTACCCGCCGAAGGAGAAGAATACAGACTACTCAAGGCCCGAATGCAACTCACCAACCACGAAGCCCTCTGGGGCAAAGCCCGGGTCTCCAAGACAGGGTAGGGTAACTAGCTGCTCGGTTAAACACATAACCAAGAATCGCTCTAAAGTTCATAGCCGACTCCAGTATGACGGGCGTGTGCACGACATGGCCGCTGTCTGTACATTGTCAGTGTGCGCCATGCTCAGTCTGCGCACATGATCAGTCTGTGTTCAGCGTGCGTCGAAGCGGCACATAAGTTGTATCGGTGCTGTCATATCGATGCGCGTTGCGGGCCATTTTTTGAGAGGGTCGAGACTCATACCCTCCCCAAGCTGACACAAAGAATCACCACCAGTAAGATATCTGCTACGCCGGTGGCCTCCATGACGCATCGGGCAGCAGGTTTGTCAGGCACAACCCCTGAATACTAGTGTCCAACAACAACGTGTCCTTCTTCTGAATATGCCCCACTGACATAATTATCGTTCCTGCCGGCTTTAGCAATTGGTCAGCTATATCCTTGATCAACCGACTCACTGTGATGGGCCCCTTCTCACCCATAGTGATCAACAGCGACATAGCTGCCGTTGCCACTCGCATACTTACGGCTTGCTTGTACCTTGTGCGCTACCTTGCCGATAACGCCTTCTTCTAACGCGGCTGTTGTCTCAACGAGCGGTCGCCTGAAACGCGACCCGAACGTGACCAAAAAAATGCCCCCCCACTGGCCCACGGCCAACAGCCGGACTAGGAGGGCATGTGGCTGACCCACAGTTGTGAAGAGATTGGGATGACGATTGGGAGTTTTTGTTATTCGAAGTATCAAGCGACGACCGCAGACGAGGGGCCTGCGGTTGTCACGGGCGAATACAAAGTGTGAACCCCCCCCCCCCCCCCC